TCTCCCTCTCTCTCTCTCCCCTCCCTCCCCACCGGGCTGGGCATGCCCAGTCTCTGCTTCCTCATAACCATCAGTTTATTACTTACTTGCAGCTCTAAGTTAGTCAGACTGAACCAAGTTATGTTATCAGCAGTGGTTTAGACCCAAAATCAAGGTGCAAACTACCGGGGGGGCAGGATCTCTTAAATACTGACAATATGCTATTTTTGTTATTTCTATCTTTCTGTATCTTCATCATCATAGATCACGTATAAAATGTGGTTGTTATTGAAGTATGATTCATGCATAAGTGTGATTCATCACTAATTCACTTCCCTAAAAATTAAGCCATGGTACAGTTCACACACTAACACAGGGCCGTGTCCGGGGGGGTCACCAAAGCTTTAAGGAGGGGGTCGTGAGGCCTTCTTGATTTTAAGGCGTGCCAGATAACTTAAAGAATATACACAGCAGGCCGATAACTCAGCATCTGGTTCACGTCTGTAAAGAAAAGATAAATGGAAATGAAATCGTCTAATAGAACAATGGTCGGTATGATTGTTAAAAATTATAATGCGTGTTTCTACAGTGGCCCAGAATGGACAAACTTACACCACTAGATGCCACTAAATCCTGCACACTGGTCCTTTAATTTGTATTTGTATTATTTAATTGTATTATTGTATTATAGGCTGTATACAGTATATATATACACACAAAGAGAGCACTGTGATAATAATAGCTGGTTATAACAGCTGGCAGGTCTTTGAGCTAAAAAGCTAATGTGACATGACAATAAGCGTGACAATAACAATACTGTGTGATAATATTAACATGCTAATGTTTAGCAGGTATAAAGTTGACCATCTTAGTTTAACATGCTAACATTTGCTAATTAGCACTAAACACAAAGTATAGCTGAGGCTGTTGGGATGCCATTGCAGTTGCTTTTGACCTGAAGGTGGCGCTAGATAAAAATTCAGATCACCAAAGTGTCACCTGTAGGCACCATAAATAAATAAGTCTACAAGATAGTTGTTGAGATATTTCGGTCTGGACCAAAGTTGTCAACAATTACTGTTAGCGAAGCAAACAACTGCACTTTGTGCCAAAGACTCACAGGTAACAGTTTAAATCATTAACTTTTAATTAAAACCTGAATAAATAAAAATAATCCAGATGCCTCCGTACACACGGGACAACAAGATATCACTGAATGGCTTCACGAGTATGAAAATTATGTGAATTATTTACATTAAATGTTAGAATAGAATATAAACTATGTGACGGAGCACTGAAGCTGCCGTGGAGGCTGATGGTTTTTTTACTTTGTCATCATCTCATAAAGAATCGACCAAACGCTCCAGAGGGATCAATACGTGAGGGATCAGGGTGAGATCAACAACCTGAAGGCCTCTGTGATCCCTGGGGCTCGTTGCCAAGAACTGAAGGTGACGTTAAGGGTATCAGTTGAAAACACAGGCTTCTTGTGGAGCTCAAAACAGAGAAAAGGAAGAAAATGATTGACCTGGATGTGGATCATCTTGTTCATCTGTAAATATGAAACTACAAGTAGAAGATTGTTAGCTTAGCTTAGCATAAAGCCTGGAAACAGGTGGAAACAGCTAGCCTGGCAGTAACTTCCTGGAGTCGTCACAAACTGCAACTTGGTTACTTTGCTTTTTGTACATATTAAACAAGCAACATGTGATATGTTAATAGTTAATCTGTCAGCTTTGGAGGTGCAGGTGGATTTTGTTACCTTAAAACGGAGCCAGGCTAATTAATTCAATTATTTATTATTTACTTCTTGGGAATACACTGAGGGGTGATGCCGAGATTACATTACAACAAAAACAGAGATTAAACAATGAAAAATTAACAAAAAGAAGACAATAAGAACATAAACATTGAAGCCATATCATTAAAATTAATAATCATATTTATAAAATGTCCCAATGTTATCAGGGAATCAGTTTTTATTCAGAATTCAGAGTTAACCCAAGGAACATGAAGGGTAATCCAGTCCTGGGAGCGGGTTTAAAAGGTCACAATGGTGCCAGATCAGAAAATCATCACATTGATATTCACTGTATTTATTATTTGTCGTCACTGGAGGGAAATGTGTGTTCAAAGGCTGCACGTGTTCAGAATCAGAAAACTTTATTGATCCCCAGGGGGAAATCTGCTCATTACAGTTGCTCAAGGTGCTCGCACGACATAAAAAAAAACAAAAAACAAATTATATTACAACATCAAACACAATATATACAGAGAGAATATAAAATGTATATATGTATATAGATAAAAAATAAAATAACATTTTTATGCCAGATCAGAAAAATGTTACATTTATATTTACAGTAGTTATTTCTGCGTCGTCCCTGGAGAGAAATGTGTTTTCAAAGCCTGCATGTGTTAGTGTACATGTTAATATATACATACACAGATATACATTCATGCCTTACATATATCCTTACATCTACTTACATACACACATATATATATACAAATCATCCTCCATATCTCTCTCTCTCCCCTCATTCACTGTCCTCTCTTCACTGAGGCAAACAGGCAAAAAAGAAGGTCTGAGAGAAATATGTTGTTTTCCACTTTGAAATGAGAGACCCTGAAGAAGACCTTGAAATAAATAACTGTGAAAGAAAAGTACATTTACTGAAATACAAACAATTGCATCCTGTTATGTCAAGTTTTATTTTGTAAGAATCTGTTCGGGGGTGTCCTGACAATAATGACATTGATTATTTCTACAGGGAAATAAATACTTTCCTGTGTGATCAAAGTGACACTGAGAGACATCTTCAGCTGTTTCCTCACATTGTCCTCTGGAGTGCAATAGCACCGCTGGTTGTTTATGTGGGTTAATGAACTCATCTTCAGTTTCTCTGATCTGAATGTTAATGACGACCTCGCAGAGCCAAACTGCAGTAATTACATATTGGGTCACAATTAAGACAAAATCAGACTTTTTGTCATCTGTTTTATTATATAAATGTGTAAACATTTTCCCAGTTTCCTCTGATTCAAAGAACAAATTTTATGCTCTAAAATCTTAGAAGTTTTGTTTGTTATTACACATAAATTAGATAAAACTGATCATAGAAGAAATAGCACATAAACTAGCTGCTATTTCTGCAGCCTATGACTCTATGAAATTCATGTGATTTAATGTGGTTAAACTACAGTTGTATTGCAAATTTAAATGTATTAAAGTACACATTTCTTTATTAAAATAAAAGGACAAAACTTAAGAAGAAATTAACATAATTTGTTTTTTTTCTGGCATTGTTTGTCTAAGCAGTGCAATATAAAGATGTACTTTTTACTATAATTAACAAACTTTAAGATAAAATGTTCACAGCCCTTTTCTCAGCTGTACTGTCTTACTGTACTCACTGTTGTACAGATGAGAAATGTGCTCCAATAGGTGTTTCTCCACTGATTTTTGTCTCCTTTCAGACCGCTGTGATGGCTGTGACTGTAGCCAATGTTCACGCTTGTCTAAACTGTCAACCTGAATTCCTTCCAGAGGCATTAGTGCCAATTTACACTTGTTTGAAATGCATTAAAATCACAGCAGTTGTGTTCAGTATAATTCATGTTATAATCACTTTAGATGAGCCCTAATGCTGCACTGACAGGCAGTGATTGAATGTAGGTCCAGTGTGTAACATTCAGGAGGATCTTTTGACAGAATATAATACTCATGAGGATGTTTTCATTTGTGTATAATCACCTGAATATAGGAACTGTTGTGGTTTTATCTACACCAATGTTGAACCACCCAGAATGGACCAACCAAACATTGGCTCTAAAAAGGTCTGTATGCGTTTTTGTGTCTTTTGTGGCCACCGTAGTTTCTAATTCGTGCTTGGAAGGGGAGGGTGAAACGAGCTGGTTGCAATCTGCAATTACACTTTTACCAGAACTAGCTGTTGCATCCCTCCATTGACTTCCTGGAGAATTAAGTATTAACTACAATATGCTGCTGATTAAACATAAAGCACTTTGTAACCTCAACCTCAGTTATATTTCAGATCTCCTTTTGTCTCTTTTTGTTCTTTACCTCTTGTTTATTCATCCATATGTTA